CATAGACCAGATGTGGGGTTGAACTCATAACTGAAGCGGATTCCAAATGAATCTTTGTTTGGCTTGGATAGATTGATCGAATACCACATCACCAGAAAACTTGTGGCATTCAATTCCTAATCATATTCATTCGATTCCTTTATCATTTCATTCGCATTGAGCATTTCATTCGCATTACGAGTTTTTACACCGAATCATTTGTTGACTTCGTTCAGTTTCAAAAATTTCAGCCACTTAATGCATCGCACAATGGCTCAGAATGGAACTTTATCTCATTGAGTAAGAAAGGTTTACGTTAGAGATGAATGATGCTTACGATTAGTGCATCAATGATTACAGTTTGACTTGACGAACGAACAATATGAAATTTTGTTTGAAAATAAATGAAAAAAAATTCTGCATACGTTAGCCAATTTCGAGCGATTATAAGTGAGGATACGTTGATAGTGCTGAGGATTGTTCACGATTTGCTCATCAACGGAATCAGCACGATGATGCATGAAACTTGAAACGTTCACAATGCGACCATGGCCAGATGCTCGCAGTGAACCGATCAACAAATCAGTCAATAAAAAATGTCCTGAACTTATTTTCGAATGTTTATAGGGACAGTATTAACTGTTTGGCATTTCTGTGAACTGACACGAGATTTGATCAATACTGATCACTTTCATGCATCAGTTGATCTCTCTTTGAAGTTGTGCTTAACTCGCAAAATTGCACGATTCATGTGGACTGTTTGAATTGAACGTTCTTATCAAACTTGAAATGCATCAATGAGCACAGCAATTCTTAAGGTGATGTAGCGTCACAATCACAGCAAAACGTCAAACCTAAGTAATTGCATTGCCATGTTGTTTCAAAGCCATCAGAAGTACGTTGAAAAACTGGCAAAGCCATAACACCGGCATTATTGACGAGAATGTCCAAATGGGTTTCATCTGAAAATCTGTAGGGGGCGAACATCTTCTCACTGATTCATGTAATGTGTGTGTTTCGAACAAACAAATAGTTGGCTGCATTCAACATTGAAAAATGATCATTCACCTTTGAGAAATGATTCGACGAATTTCCTGATGCTCTCAAACGATGCCAGATCAGCATTTGCAAGAACAAGTCGAGAACGCTCACAGCCACTCTGAAAACATCAGAATATCATCGCAAATATTCTTCTCCAGAGATACCTCTCCGTAATTCATTCCTTTCCAACTTCATTGCCCCTATCGCTTTCAGCAACATGATCTCTAGTCAGTCGTGTACCTATTCTCCGCGAGAGTCAAGACAAATAAGCTATCATCATTCTGAATAATCAATTTCACCTCAGCCAGATTTTCAATCGTCTCAAGTGCCTTTTGTGGATTCCGGCATAGCAGATAGACTTTGGCACCACGAAGATTCAGTAATTTCGCTATTTGTTTACCAATACCCGATGATGCACCAGTTACAATCGCTATTTTGCCGTGAGCATCGACCAATTCATTGAATTGCGTTCCTTTTATGTACTTTCTGAAGAAAGTTCACTCGGTCAGTACCCAGAATCAAGCACATTCATGCATACTTTATGCATCCATAAACGGATGAGAAAGCCTTTCTGACCATACTGAAGAATATTTCAGTTTCGAGCCAATTTGAGATGGTGCATCAGCTTAATTGCTAAGTTATGCGGTTGTATCTAAATGACATACTCAAATGAGCAATGCAAGCAGTTAAGTGATGCAGTTCAGCCAACTGAGCAAACGTCTCAAACAATCCATCCACTACAAATAAGAAAGGCCACAAAAATTTTGTTGAATTCTTTAAGACTGCTATTGAAAGCAATACCAACTGTTTGCCCGTTGAAGAGTAAATGCGAATGATAGAGCTGATCAGTAAAAGTAATACACCTCAAAAAGTAACATGCACCAACGAACGCAAATGCCAACAGAAATTGGTCATAAACAGTGGTGAAAATCGCGTTCATCCTCTCAAACCAGCGCACTTTCCTGCAATTCATTCATGTATAAGCAGCATTTGCACTGAAAATATGCTCGAATCGTTGATGAACAAGCATTCATGCCACTCTAGATTGCTAAGCATTCCGTGAACATGAGGCGCGATTCTCTACGATCGGATTAATCAGCAAGGTCGAGGCGGGACCACGTTTTTCTCAACGATCAAGTAAATGGCGTATTCAAGCAGCAATCGCACGACACTAACGATAAGAGTCACAAAGCGATCTGATAACTGAAATATAATCACTCATTGTCTGATACGAAATGATGACACATTTTCTTTCAGTGCTGGAATATCACATCCAAAATGAATCCGATCCGATGAACTTATCAGTTTTGATGATTAACTGATAGATGATAAATATGATAAGATAGACTGATTCACTTCGACGAGATCACAAAGACGAGAGAGCACGGAGGAGAGAAGGAGATCACTCATGAAAACCGGAAAGACGATATTAGAATTAGATGGAACGATGGCGTTGAAAGGAATTGAACGCGAACTAAAAATGATGACAGGAAGTGTATCTCACTGATCTGTTGAAATTCTAAAAACTGGTCGAAATTAGAATGTTACTGATGTAACGGCATTGTTGAGTGTATTCTATTGAAATGAACAACTGAGATGCAAAAATTGATTGGATACGAGTGCTTCAATGAGAGATATTCAGAACGACGTTTATCTATTAATATCCAGGAATATTCTTAACCATTTACATTACACCTGAAAACCTAACAATTTTATCAGTTCCGATGCTTTGAGCGATTGTCTAAAAATTCTGTTGCGTGGTAAAGTTTTTTGCAGTAAAATTCACGTTCATAAAATATCATTCTTGAATACATTCAAATAAAGTAAGAAGAAAACTCTCGTGTTTCTTCAGTTATTCCTCCACGTACTCATACGTCATTTCTCGATTGTGACTAAGAGCAAAGTAATATTCGCTCAAACAATTAACTCTTCAAAAATTTTCAAATGATAAAGTAACAGAAAACGAATTCGCATGGAATTTTTAGCGAAATGAATGCAGCAACTGATGTTTCATGAGCAATATGGCACTCGATATATAAATGTTCGCATTGCTGAGAGCAGATTGAAGCTGGTAGTAAGGCGTATTTTAGCGAATCGATAAGCGTTCTCGACTGATTGCAAGTGACATCCACGTCACACTGCACTCGCCACTATTCGTAATGATATCATATTAGATGTAACTGCTGAGTCAAATGTGCACATTCATATTGTATATTCCTCAACTCGTCAATGCTTACAACAACTTTACCTCACTGTTTCTTCTCGTTAGACCGAGAGTTCGATTTCTCAAGGTCGAGTGTCTATCGGAACCTTTGATGTCGTTGAATCGATTTCACAGTTTCATTAAACTAGAGTTCATATTCTACAGGTCATATTCATATATGAGTTGCCAGTTTTTTGAGAAGATCCAATGATATTAGGTTGTTTGAAC